ATCGTCTTGTACGTCTCGTGGCCTCTTACTTGAAGGATCGTACCTTTCCTTTTAGACACGAAGGCACGCTCTCCTCTCAGCGCCCCATCAAAACTGGTGTCCCTCAGGGCTCAATACTTGCTCCTCTCCTGTACATCCTGTTCACCAACGACATTCCCATCCCGTTAAAAGGTGTTCAGCTCTCCCTCTTCGCAGACGACACTGCCCTCTACTGTAAGGGGTTTTTTTTTATAGGAGAGGGGGCAAACGAGCATGCCTGATGGTAAGTGACTACCGCCGCCCATGAACAACTGCAACACCAGGGAGGGAATTGCAGATGCGTTGCCGGCCTTTAAAGGGTACCTCGCTACCTTTCATACGGAACAAGATCCAAAAGTCAGATGACCTAGGAGCTTGGTTCCAAAAATGACGCATCGATGTGAACCCGGAGAAAAGCTCCGCCGTTCACCTCGATTATAACGACGCCGCCGCAAAAATACTCCACCAATACGTATGCTAGGGATCCCTGTCCCCTGGCGTACGTCTGACAAATATTTAGGCGTCACCCTTAACACGAGGCTCTCCTTCGGTCCCCATGTCAAAAGAGTAACCCGTCACGCACGTTTTTATCTGAGTAGGCTCAACAGTATGCTGGGCCGACACAGTAAAATGTCCCTCCGAAACTAGCGAACCTTTTATAAGGTCTGTATACGACCAGTCATGTCTTACGCGGGCCCTATATTTGCTCACGCTGACCTCAAAGTCATTAATTAACTTCAAATAGTTCAAAACCTCTTCTGTCGTCGAGCTACGAACGCACCCTAGTACGTCCGTAACGCCGACCTATACCAGCTACCAACGGGACTTAAAACACTCTCTGAGAACTTTTTCAAAGCCTCAGAGCCACATTCCAATCATTTTATTCGTTAGGCAGCTACTTATGCAGCCCCACTCCCCTCTCGCTATCGAGTCCGCAGGCCGAGAAACTCTCTCTCGGACCCGCCAAATAAACTTTCAACCGACCTGAACTGCCTCCTGGCGGCTCAGGCCGACTCTTCTTAAATTTGTCTTAGTAGGCTCTCTTAGCGGCTCGTAGCCGCCTGTGCCCTCTTTTCCCAAAAGACGGTCGCTTCCGATTCGGCAGAAAGGCCTAATAAGCCAACGCCGTACACAAGAGTGGAGTTTAATGGGTACACTTAGGGGTTAGGTAGTGTAGTCACAGTGAGTCCCACATAACCATGACAGCCGGCTGTCGTGGTATGCCTGAAGCATTCTTCACTTCGGCGCAAAAAAATTATACAAAGCTACATATTTACATCGCGGGACCTGTGTCAGATTTCGAGCTGGAGTGTAAATTTAAGAAAAATACACGAAAAAGGCGCCGAAGAAAACTATTTTATTCTTGCACTAACATATGGTGTGTCATTGTACATCACATATTTAAAAAAATTATAATAATGTATACTGAAAAAATAACCAAGTGACGTTCCCAGCCAGACTCCCAAACTAAAAAGGGAGATAATAAACACATGGTAAAAACATAGTGCATGAAGTTTTAAAATGAAAAATCCTTTTTGTTTTTTATTTATTTATTTAACTATGTAATTATAATAGATTATTCTTAAAATAAACGCGTTAAATTAAAATTATGAATAGGAAATATACAAAACATTTGTCAACGTTTCTGTATAAATAGAAATCATGTTACCTTTTCAATTACCGTCTTGTATCATTAATAATGAATGGTATTACGTAAAAAAAAAAAAACATTTTTAAATCAAGGACTAAAAAAATTAAATTATTGGTATGACATTAACATTGAAAGAATGTTTCGCACACAGATGTTACAAAATACTTTTTTCGTTATGGAAATAAGGCCTATTGATATTTATAAACGACTCTATTTATATGTTCTTATATCTTCAATTCAAACATGTCATGCTATAAAACCAAGTTACAGTCTACATACTGTACCCAAATTTAAAGTAAAGTTACTTACTAAAACCTCCTCTCATTTCTGAGATTATTATAGAGTAACTTAGTCTGCCATGCTATTCTAGTAAGTTTTGGCGTCCTTTACATTTCTTTTAAACATTTTATTGCTCAGACTTAGAGGTTCTACGATGTTTTTTTTTTCACCGTCGAGTACGTGGTAAATTAAAAATGGCAATTTTCTGATTTACTAGAAAAGAGGCATCGCTCAATAGCGATACAATTAGTAGTATTATCTGCGACGTTACTTTACAAGACATGACGTCTTTGATCTATAGTGCTTTCGTTCACAATGTTAGCAACAATCGACGTCGATATACTCGTTTTTGTTTAGTTATATACTTTTATTATTTTATTATATCTCAAAAATAGGGCTAGACTTATTATTATTCGAACGATGAAGTAAATTGTTTTCTAAATTAAGTGATGATTATTATATTACATTGCAAATATTCGTTTTGCAAACTTTAAAAATTATTAGTTAAGCAGAAATGAATACTAAGCCTTGGCACACAGACGGTTATAAGCGAGCTGAATTCCATTTGTAATCCCAATTTTATGTGCTTACTAACGAACCGCCCCGGCTTTGCACGACTGTTTTCTAGATCTCCATAACAGCGCTACTTATCGGGTCTAGTTGTGAGTGTGAGTGTTCATCCAAATCGGTCCAGCCGTGATGTGACTTGATCGTGTGAATCAAGTGATGATCTTTCATACAGGCGGCAATCAATTTTAATTTATATAGGTTTACTACTTGCGTAGCGGAAAACCATCGACTATATTTAACCAAAGCTTTTTCTGCTTTTTTCGAAATATTTTCATCCAAGCAGACATTTTACTATGGTAGAAGTGCCCCCTGTATACGTTCCGTGAAGCGAACCCAATGTTTATTAAACAAACAGTTATTATTCCCTGTGAAACCCACAATAAGTCTAAGAATAATTTGGCGGTAATATACCAGCAGAATTTAAGTACATTTGTACGTGGTAGCGCCATACTGCAGCTATATTAGTAGTATAGTTGTAACACAATGAGTCGGCTCAACCGGGGAAGGACCACGCTCTCACAGAGTACCAGCGTAATATGACAGCTTATGGCTGCTGTGTTTCGTATGGTGAATGTAGGGTACCGAAGACCCCTTTTACTGGAAATGAGGCGTTCCATCTTAGTCCTCACGGGTGACAACGCATCTGCATTTTGATTCGTAATTGAGGATAGATGTAGATGTCTATGAGCCACAGCAACAACTTAACATCAGGTGGACTGTGTGCCCGTTTGTCACCTTAACCTATTAAAAAAAGATTTCATAGTGATCTTTTCACGATATATTTTAAATTATACAACGATAGTACGAAATTGCGCATTATTCGACTGCGTTTTTGCTGTAAGATGTCAGATGAAGCTTCCATAAACTTTTATTGATGTAAATAAGTACTACGAACCGGACAGGATTTTTGTTTCGCTAATGTCACATCAATAGAGGTGATAGACACCTCAGGAATGGAATAACGGCAACAACCTTGCAAAAGAAAAGATTGTGGCGGGAACTTGACCGGCGGCGGTTTGCTGCTCCTGTATTATTGTTTAAATAATGGTTTGAAGTGGACTTTGATATGTAAAAGTGGTGCGATTTTGTGTATTAAGTGTCCGCGCATGTGAACTATTAGTGGAAACTGTGAAACAAGTGCTCTGATGGTGATGTGATTCTCAAAATAGGGTGTCTGTCTGCTTAGGCGCCTTGAGATACCATCGCCAACTGTCAGCTGTCTGCTGGCTCAAGTTGCCGTCAAAATCTCCCAAGGGCTGCACAATGTGACGCATCAACATATTGTGAAGCAGTATACTATGAAGGATAATTATTATAATATATTATAACTTCAGGCTCAGAAGGGCTAGATCCCAGAGCCGTAAAGCCAGTTATTAAGAAGAAGACCAGTTTATTTCAAAATTGAATGATATATTTAACAGGGTAATCGCATTGATAGCCAGTCTATGCTGTATAAATAATTTAATGTTTTCCATCGGTGCTGAATTATAAAAACTACTACGGATCGAAATGTCGTTTATTAAAACTAATTTGTTCTGTACAACAGTAACATGCTCATAGATATTTACAATTATCCATAACAAAATTATGTCTTTACATTAAAGCGATATTAACAGACTGTGAATCAAATTTAATACTGATTAACGGAAATATAACTTTTTTATATTTAGGTACATACATAAAACACGACATAATGATTTCATATATTTACGCGAACACTACACATTAAATGGATTTTATCGCGTTTAATTTAACTGTTTAATTCCCGACGTTTCGAATGCTTTACAGCATAATAAAAGAATCTATTTATTAAAAAATAATATTCAATAACTGAAGGTATCCGGGCTAAGTATGATATCGGGACGTCATACATCTCAGTCTCCCCCTCCCCGTGACCATGGATGCTGAAAACACCCGAAACGTCGGGAATTAAAAAGTTAAATTAAACGCGATAAAATCTCTAAAATTAGTTTCAATTAAATACAAAATATTTTAAGGAAACTTTCTTTCGTGTAACATACCTACTAAAAAGCAAATAAATAAACTTTAATTAAAACTATCTAGATACGTCCTACAGCTGGGCAATGGCCTCCTTTTATTCGTGAGAGGGATTTGATGCTGAGAATTTTGTCGCTCTCACTTAAGTTTATATTGGCGAAATTCACTCACATATATACTCGAAATAATTCATTAATAATTAATACATGAATAATTGTAATTTCTTACATGTGTAGTCCTTTAGAAATTCTAGAATATTTATCGAATATAATAATTGTTCCAAGTTGTAAAGAAATCAATGGAACTTTCTAGAATGTGAATAATGGTAAATATTCGTTGTTTTATTTTTTAAGAGCTGCTTACTAAGACTAGATTTTACAATAACTATGCACATAGAATCTTTGGAACGCCAAAAGCCCTATTTGTTTGACGAGCATTTGCGCTTCTGCTTGCTTCTTTCTATCAGCTCACAATCAGGCCTTTGTCAAGAGAATCTGGAATCGTCAGGCGTTGACAACGACCTGGGCTTCGAATTCTTCGACTCCATCAAACCGACCGTGTTACCCCTCCATCCATTGCTCCTGTTGGAGTACGTGGAGGAGGTCACTGGCACTTTCCTCGTCTGCTTGATCTTTAGCTTATTCAACCAGAGATCTCTGGTCTTCCTATTACCCAGCACGAAGAACAGGAACAGAACGAAACCTTGATAGGTCGCCGTCAAAGTGAAGAGGTAGGCCGCGACGATGTTGAAAGCGAACAGCCCAAAGACCCAGGGCAGTCCAAAGAGAAACACGAGTAGACAACTCACGGATGCACAACGTAAAGCCTCGTTAGAATTGCCGTGCCTCTGGATCCTTCTAGAAGCAAACACGGAGCGGACTATCAGACAGAATAGTGTCCAGTTTGCGAGCAGCATTAGCGCTATCGGCGCGTACACTGTCAACCATAGAGCGAGACCGGAAGGATAGCAGAAAGAACCACTGGGCATCTTCTCTTCGAAACGGCCCGCGTAAGAATGAGGGGCGATTGAGAGTAGGATCCCCACCACGGCACAAGGAGCTCCCCACGAGAACGCCGAAGCTCTCAACAGCTTGTGTGAAGCATCTCGTGTGAAAACCAGAACCAATCGCCTGTAAGACAGCACAGCTGCGACCAGCATCCAGCAGAAGGACGCTAGAACGGAATAGTGGAGAGCGACTCCCACTAACATGCATCCAACATTATTCTGCTCGAATTTCGCAAAGATTGCAACGAGGAAGCAGACGATGTGGAGAAAGACGGCTATGCAGAGCTGTAACCAGATTTTGTTGCTGTAGTCTCTTCTCCAGGTCCTGAAGATAGCGGCCGTCAATCCCACCATGAATAGACCAAAAGTGGAGAGGCAGCATCCAATGATTGTAATCAATTCCAGTGCGTCTTCGTTGCGCTGAGAGAAGACCGCTTTCGGGACGAGGACCTCCGCAAAGTGAGTGAGATGAGTGCATCTGCAAGTGTCCAGAAGGCCAGGCCTTGAGGCTTTTATGAAGGTGCAACCCTCCTGCGACCAGTATCCGCTGCCATCGTTCAGGAACTGCCAGTAAGCGCATGCGCGACTTAAGTTGCGACCCGGTTCACTCGTGATGGGACTGATGTGGATGTCGACAACCTGCGAATTTAAATGAATAGACAGCAATTAGTATATCCACTACTCCAAATCATCCCTAAGGAAATTTATCTTTCTCCACCTGATGGTACGTGGATACGACCATAGACATTTACATCTAAGCTCCATTAATTGACAATTTAAGTGACTTAATTTAACGGTAGGGTGCGTACCGCGAACTGAAAAGAACGTGGCTTCAAATCCGCCATTTGAATATTGTCGTGAACCACTCCTAATGCAAGCATTTTAAGCTTACACTTAGCTCTCAGAGGAGTGGTTAAAGAATTTAGTTGTTGTATGCTAACTAGTATTTTATTTGAAAAATTAATAATCAAAATGCAGATGCATTTTCACAGACAAAAGGAATATGCACCTTATTCTCCAAATTTCATTCAACCTGACCTGTACTTGGGTCTTCCTCGTTGAAAAGAGTATTTTTAAGTCACTGGTCACGTATAGCAGCGTATTGACGACTGTAGTACCAGACGTGAGCACCTTTAATGCTTACACGTCGCTGGTATGGGTATTTTACACCTGGCATAAAGAGTTGATTATACCAATGATCTATTTACTTTTTGGCTTATTCCATAGTTGTCTCTTAGACCACCCACGGGACGAAATGGAGTGGGAAATATTATCTTACGCTACCACCATACGGTAAGGAGTGGGCATACGTACGTGGTAGAGTTCGACTGGAGTAGGACCACGCTCTCGCAGAATAGCCGATTTAAATAGCAGCTCAATGCTGCTGTGTTTCATATGGTAAGTGTAGATAATCGCAGAACCTTTTTACTGAAAACGAGACCTTCCATCTTAGTCCTCAAAGCAAGGCATCTGTCATTTCGATTTTTATTCGAAGATAAATATAGATGTCTATGGGCCACTTACCATCATGCAGACTCTGTGCTCGTTTGTCACCCTTATTATATAGAAAAAACAACCGCTGATTAAATTAGAACCTGAGTATACCAACCTCTCCGCTGTTGAAATTAGTGATGTTTTCCACGTTGATGCTCAACACTTTGCTGTTCACGGGGTAATTGGACTGGAAGGCGCGGTCATTGCGGAACACTACGAAGCTGATGCGCGTTGAGGAATCCGCCACCGACTGGGGTAAATTGACCACAGCTTCGTTCTCTACGTTGTTCAGAGTTGTGGGGTTCAGCTTTTCTGGAGTAAAATTTTATTCTTAGTTTTTTCATATATTTTTTAAGAACTGAAGTAACAAACGAATTTACAGCCCACCTGATTGTAATTGGCTACAGCTGGCCATTGACACATTTTTTTTCTTAAAAAACGTTACCCCAACACTTGGATTTTCTCCTGTATCGTGAAGGCAGTTTACAAACATAAATTGCACGAGGACAAACATCCAGATCCGGAACAATTGTTTGTAGGCCATACAAATACCTGTTCAGTGTGGGATTCAAACCCGCGGCCCCCAGCGCAACAACTCATTGTTAAGCCGCTGCGCCACGGAGCCGTCAACATGCAGCCAACTTCAAATAAAGAAAGCTACAGATGCGTCGTCACCTCTTAGGAGCAGTTGGAATGCCTCTTCTGAAGTTAGCTTCAGGTGTCAATGAACTGCAGTAGTCAGGTGACGTGGCATCTGTACCCTTCTTTTCTGAAGTTAGCTTCAGATGTCAATGAACTTCAGTAGTCAGGTTACGTGGCATATGTAGCCTTCTTTTCTGAAGTTAGCTTCAGGTGTCAATGAACTGCAGTAGTCAGGTGACGTGGCATATGTAGCCTTCTTTTCTGAAGTTAGTTTCAGGTGTCAATGAACTGCAGTAGTCAGGTGACGTGGCATCTGTAGCCTTCTTTTTTGAAGTTAGCTTCAGGTGTCAATGAACTGCAGTAGTCAGGTGACGTGGCATCTGTAGCCTTCTTTTCTGAAGTTAGCTTCAGGTGTCAATGAACTGCAGTAGTCAGGTGACGTGGCATATGTAGCCTTCTTTTCTGAAGTTAGCTTCAGGTGTCAATGAACTGCAGTAGTCAGGTGACGTGGCATCTGTAGCCTTCTTTTCTGAAGTTAGCTTCAGGTGTCAATGAACTGCAGTAGTCAGGTGACGTGGCATCTGTAGCCTTCTTTTCTGAAGTTAGCTTCAGGTGTCAATGAACTGCAGTAGTCAGGTGACGTGGCATCTGTAGCCTTCTTTTCTGAAGTTAGCTTCAGGTGTCAATGAACTGCAGTAGTCAGGTGACGTGGCATCTGTAGCCTTCTTTTTTGAAGTTGGCTTCAGGTGTCAATGAACTGCAGTAGTCAGGTGACGTGGCATATGTAGCCTTCTTTTTTGAAGTTAGCTTCAGGTGTCAATGAACTGCAGGAGTCAGGTGACGTGGCATCTGTAGCCTTCTTTTTTGAAGTTAGCTTCAGGTGTCAATGGCCGACCCCGATGAGGACTGCGAGGTAATAGCACTGCAAGGGTGCTGGGGGCAGTAAGGACTACCCCCAAGACGTGCAAAGCAAAGCTAGAGTGGAAATCTTGGGACCCCTCATATACGCTGATGGTAACCACCGTGGAGTTTTAGATGGTAGGAGTCCGGCATAACCTTTCTGTTGTCTCGCAGCTGAAGGTATCCATGAAGATTTCCCCACAATAAGAAAGCCGTCAATGGCCGGCTGTAGCTACTTACCATCAGGTGGATTGAAGGGTTTTTCACGTTATCTTTGATTGTTCTTTTATACATTGTTATAGATGCAGGTGTAAAAACACTAAAGAAAATCCAACACAATCATGCTGGAGTGTATTCGCTAAAAATACCGTGGGCATCTGAATTGCTTTGCTTGTTTAGCACGCCCGGGGACAGTAACGTTAGTAAAGTAGTGCTGCATTAATATGCAGCACTACTTTACTAACGTTGGCTGCAATACGAGCGGTTCAACTTGACTGAGGAATGATATTTCTTTGTAATAGATATTTAGTATATTATTAAGATTTTTCCCAATTTTTCCATAGTTTTTTCTTTCGACACCCGTGAAACATTATAGGATAATAGATTGATTCACGCCCCAAGAACTTAGCAAAAATTTAAAAGAAACAAAATAGGTCCAGATTGTAAACCTTGCAGTAACACAAAATAGCAAATAGCGCCGCACGATGCTATCACCTGAATACATTCTATACGAATAACAGACATGTATTACACATCACTCTTACCCTATAACAAATCTTAACTATGTATCAGATATTGAATTAATAAAATAAGATTTTAATATCAAAATATAAGTTGTTCTGAAAGGATGTCAGTATTCAGAACCACACTGTGATATGCGATTTTCAACAATTTGGTTTGTTTAGATTTATAGATAACTTGTATTATTTGAGAGATTAGATGTTTTGGTGTATAGTCACTCAATACTCGTATGTCTCTACAGTTATAACGTAGTATCAATTTGACATTAGATGTTTTGAGAAATATAACTGACTTATAGCAACACAATATATTTTAATGTTTTTGTAACAACACGAAAACGTTGTACTGCAGCGGTATCTAGTACATAGTTATAATACGTAGTTCGTATGTGGCCCGATTTAATGTAGATATAGATATATTATTTCACTCCTATCCAATAATGGAAACTTTGATATCAACGAACCTGTTAAAATTTCAAAAGAGTTCTTTGTGAAAACGCCTTGATTGCTTGCCGCAACTCTTAAACCCATAACCGGGCTCCCTGGCTTGGCATCGGCAATTACGAGCGCAATGTTGCTTCTCACAGCCGTAGCATTACTGGATCCGTTCAGATACACCGAAGATCCCAGCCTATCCAGCAAGTGGAGCAATTTACTGGGGATGTCTAAATTGTCTTGCGCTTCCAAAACGACATCCACCTGGAAAGATGTGAGAAGAGTTTATTTGATGTGAAAACTCTTCAGCATCGTTTTGTTTTGAAACTGGATTAAACGAAAAAGTGACACTAAAATGAAACAAACGTATACATCTATACGATTTAGCGTGAGAATGAGATAGAATACAGTGTAATAAGCGACAGTAGCCTAATGGCAAAGTGTGGGCCGCTAACTCAAAAGGGTTTGTGGGTTCGAATCCAATCGTAACATTTATTTGCTATAAAATGAATTTTTTATCTTATATTTTATGTCGCACTTGTGGTTGAAAATGATCTTGTTAAAATCATTTGCCGTGATATACATATATATATAATTTTTTTTAATATTTATTTTCATTTGAAGGTTTGATTTCTACCATGTGTGTTTGCACACATGATTGTTTTTTTTCATTACAAGCTATCAAAAGTCCGCTTGTGATCATATGTCTTCCCATATATTGCCTCATAAGGGGAATATTTATTCCCCTAGTTACCATGCTTGACAGGCGAGTTGTTTGGATTCCCGCCGACCCAATTAAGGACTAGTTTTCCGTGTGGTTAGCGCTGGACGACAACATCGTGAAGAAACCTGCATGATTAAGGAAAAAACTATTTCGAGAACATAGTCCAATACGTTACATTAATATGGTCATGGACTCCGTTTTGCCCAAAAACCTTCTAAAGAATGAGAGGAGGATGTGTACTGCAGTGGGACGGAATAGACTTTTAACTTAGCATGGGGCAAACGACGTGCATATTGAAAATTAATATTTTAATGTTTTTGATCTAATTTCATTCAGTATATATGTCACAGTCAAAACTCATAACCGGTCAAATCCACTTTAGAAATACAAAAAGTATAAGTCAAAAGAAGTTTTAACTGATATTGCTGGTCAAAACCACAAAGTGTTTTTGACCAGCAATATCAATCATATATATTTCAATCATCAATATATTTTTGACAAAGTGTTTAAACGATGGAATTCGCTCGCTACTCGATCGCTAGTATATATATACATATATCACCTGGATGTGAGTAGTGATGTAGTCAATGATAACAAAGCGCACGGACTTAGCTTAGCAAAATCCTGTTTACTCTTCCTTTTAAGGCACCTACATTGTAATTGAATGGAAAGACAGCTGATGGCAAATTACTCGTATTTCACTTCTTTGATGTACGCACTACGAACAAAAAGCAAGCCGTCTGGTTCAGATATCATAGTGGCCCCAAGTGGACTGACATAGCGTCCCGTTATCCGTAGTGAAAGAAAGAGGTAGGAATCAAGTCATGCAATTCCTACGCACACTCTCCGAAATGACTATTCTTTAATCTAAATAATATAAACCTGTTAACTCACCTGGTCAAAAACCGATTCTACATTTGACACTAGAACTGGAACGGAGTTGTTGTTTACGAGTTTGTCTAGATCTTCCAGAACTTGCTGTAACTGTTCCTCGGGCTGAAATGAAAATGCGGGTTAAGAAAGCGACACCAATAAACACAAAAACCACGATACCTTAAAAGCGATATAGGTAGTCACCTATATCGCTTTTAAGGTATCGTGGTTTTTTGAGACTCTTGTTAGTCAACAAGAGTCTCAAAATAGTGTTATCGCCATGAGTAGATTTACTGGAGTAACATCAGAAGAAATTTATTTTGGAACGATAGTAGATTAAAAGAAGTGATTGTTTTTTGTTTTCCACACTATGTTTTTCTTCACCGCCAAGCACGTGGTAAATCAGCACTTAAAACTGCAATTAACAATTTCATTGGTGCCGGCGGGGATCAAATCAGATCAAATTCGGGTTGCTCGTGTACTGTGAAATTTACAGCGAGCGCTAACCATTTGAACTACCACGGCTCTTTCTCTTTATTGATGTTTAATCATCGACATGATTACGTCACCCCGTAAACAATACATACTTAAGATATTCTTACTGCCTGAAGTAACTAATTTTTATAATATAACTGCATCTAATAAGTTTTTCGTTAAAAAACGTCACATTGTGGTCGCCCATTCTAGAAATCAGTATTCGGATTCTTATTCAATCTAGTGGGAAATGAGAGGGGAATAACCCCTTTCCACTATATGTCGTGTGGTGAGGCATAAGAGAAACCTTTACCCATTTTGTCCCGTGGGAGTCTTAAGACGCGACTATTAGAAATGTCACAAAAATCTTGTGGCTTCCAATGGACTTCCCAAATCGAGAACGGGCATCGACCTCAACATGCTCACATCTAGTGATTCGATATAGTCAATCCGCCTACCGAGCGTAGCGTCTAGACACATCCTTCGCACTGCGGAAAAGACCATCAGTAATAGACTTTGGCAAGCTGTTGGAGAAGAAGAAGAATCACTGGTCTGTTACCAGCCCATTAGACTAGCAGTAGCAGATGCAACTAGTGTGTTGGGCTATATCAATTATTAAGACTCTATTGAGGATATCCGAGTTCTACATGAGTTTCTTGCTGGTTCTTCCTAAGACAGAGGTTTTTTTGTCAAACTATTAATAAAATTAAATTACTTTCAATAAGAATTACATGTAATCTATATTGAATGAAAAATAATTCTGTTCTTTTCTATTACATATATTCTCCATGCTCTCGTATAAAAAACACTCGAATATTGCCATCTGTAAAATAGAACACCATGCTATGGCGTAGTAAGAATACCCATTATCCTATATCGTCCCGTGGAAGTCGTAAGAGGGACAGATAGAAACTTAAACTGTTGATGGGCAGCTGCATCTTTCTGCAAACAACTTAAAATAATTAAAAATCTACGGTTGCTACATCGCCTGCCACGCGTGGCAACTATGAAAGTATCCCCCTTATGAGACAGTCTATGGGAGAGTTTTATGTTAAGCAGTGGACTTTTATAGACTGTAATGGATAGACTGATGGTTGGAGAATAGAAAACCGTTTCTAAAATTGCCCATGTTAATATACAATATGTAACAAAAACCATGTGGTTCCCGTTAAGTACGTTATCAGGATCATTATTCAAACGTATAGAAATAACTTTTTTTTAAAAACTCAAATAATATTTTTTTATTTTATTTCAAAAATATTGTATGCAAATCGTATGTGGTTTTATTACCTCTGCATTGTCTGGGGAGTAAGATGATTGTCAAAGACCCCGCTTTACTTAGCTTTAGTATTGGCTAGGCTAGTCAGTAAGAGGTAATAAAACCACATAAAATTAAAAAACAAAAAAAATGGTCGAGTTTTTAAAAAAAGTTATTTCTATAGGTTTGAATACTGGTCCTGATAACGTACTTAATATATATATATATAATATATATATATATATATTATATATATATATATATATATATATATATATATATATATATATATATATATATATATATAGATATATGTCAAATGAATAGCTAAGCTCAAAGGTTGGTCTATTTTTTTAATTTTATTTATAGCATAGGGTGACAAACGGGCACACAGTCTACCTGATGATAAGTGGTTGCTTTGACCCATAGACATCTACATCTATCCTCAATAAAGAATCAAAATGCAGATGCGTCGTTACCCGTGAGACTAAGATGGAATGCCTCTTTTCCAGTAAAATGGGTCTCTGGTTTTCTACACTCACCATACGAAACACAGCAGTATCAAGCTACTATTTTACGGTGGTATTCTGTGAGAGCGTGGTTCTTCTCGACGAGCCGACTCATTTGTGCCACAACTATACTACTAATATAGCTGCAGCATGGCTCTACCACGTGAAAACAAACGTGGAACAAACTTTGTAAGTATAAAGAATTCTTAATCCAGTAGTGAACTGTTTAGAAACCTAAATGGTAAATATATGTCAACCTTAGAAGAAGACTTACCGCTTTCGTTGTAGGCATGTCAGTAGTAGTGGTATATTGCGTCGTAGTCTCAGTGGTAACTGGGGTGGTATCCGTGATCGGTGGTAGAGTTTCAGTGCTCACAACATCGGTAGCTTCTTGAGTCACATAACTGTCGGTGGTGGTCACCGAAGGCTCAGTGGTGGTCGGATATTTACATGTAGTGGTCGATGTTGGAGGCTTAGGTCTGTAACGTTCGGTCGTTAATTCTTCGGAGCTTTCGCCGCTCGCTTCACGTATCTGTGGTGCTTCAGCGTGTGTCTACAATTTGTTTTAGTATTTTGAAGTTAGTGAATTATGTATGGTTTCAGTTTCATATGAAATTATTTTGTTACATCAACATAAAGTTGAAGTTAATCACCATTGCGTATAAAAACTACAAAATAAAAAACTGCGGTTGCCAACCCACATGCCAATCGTGGCAATATCCCAAATATCCCCCATATGAGGCAATCTGTGGGAGAGGCCTAAATTCAGCAGCGGCCTTTTGATAGTCTGTAACGGTAACAGTGTATCCTCGTAAGGTAAATAATTATAGTGTGCCTTATACATGTATCCAATCGTACGTGATTCGGTCATTTGACCTGGGTCGTGTAAAAGTATTGATGATTACAATCACACTTGAATGATCCGGTACAAATGATTCACAGGATCTTTATAACCTGTGACATGTGATTGAACGTTTGCACGAATTATGAATGTAAAAGTATTTCGCGAATAGGCTTTTGTCAAAATATTTGTAATAATCGCCTCGACCAATTTAGTATTATAAGGCAGAAACGCTTCTATGTGAGTTGAAATCTGAGATAATCATGGAAAAAACTTGCAATCTGTAAAAGCCTATTTTTTATCTTTCAAGTACATGTATAGGAGATACAAAACCATTTTATTTATAAAGTAGTAAATATTAAATCATTTACACACAGAATTCTCAGTGTTCGACCGAAACCGAACGAACAAACCGACAATCGACAGAATCGAGTAGGTCGCACATATCACAGAGTACAGAAACCTGAAATGATCCATTTGCGTGATCGACCTGAATGACCCGGTTCGTATGACGATCAATACTTGAACGATCTGCTCACTAAAAATGAACGAATGATGCATATTTAAAATACCTGTCGCCTTAACCAAGCCGACTTTCTACAATCTATATCTACTATTATTCCAATATATTATACATATATATAGGTATACTGATTCATTCACAGCAAATGTAACTTTGTATTACTATATATTAATATGGGATTACAAAGTTATTTATGCAGTTGGTGTATCTCGAAAACTGGACTGAAATCGCAAAATATATTACTTTTGCCTTAATTTATATACTAAACAATAGTAGTATTCCAAATCTGAGGCTTCTATCTCTGCTAGAAGCGCCTTAGAGTTTTGATGATCGGTCAGTCAGTGAGTGACAAAATTAAGAAATTTTGACTAGTTCCAATTCTTAAACTACTGGTTAAATTTGATGATATTTGAATTATACTGAGTTTATACAGTTTCTGCTTGGTTACCGAAAATTCAGGCTTCTAGTTTTATCCACAACGAAGTTATAGGGTTTCGAAAATGGTCTGAAATGATTAGAGAAAAAGATGGTACGGCCGTGCCGCTTTTTTGCTCGACTTGGCGGGGGTACTGCCGTGCCCCCAATTCGAATGTTTTTTTTTAAGTGTATTAGTTTTAAAAAAATTACCTCATCTTTGTTCTACGTGAACCTATTATGATGATACTTCTTTTATTTGAAAACTAGTGCTTCTCATGTGGTCCCATATAAATTAGATCAAGGTCTGACCTATAGTCTTTGAATTACCCTTAATAATATATATATTGAACTCGGTTTCACAATTTTTTTTTTAATTTTTAATTATTTATATTGAAGTTTCGTAATATAAAACTCTTTCATTTAGCAACCGTTTACCGTTACAGATTATCTTCACCACTGTCTTTAACTAGTTGATAGTGGTAGTTTTATTCACATGCAAATTTGTTATTTTTGGTCTAGTGGATTATACACACACGATGCATGAATAGAGTACTCACTGTAGCTTTCATTATAACAGATGGCATGAGCTGTGTGATTGACTCATCTTGCAACTTCCTGCCCCAGAAGTCCTCGACCTGGACGGTGGTGAAGACGGCCATATGTGGTTTTGTAGTACAGCCTTCGGTAGCTGTTGTCACCCACTGCACGCCCTCGTTGAAGTCTCCGATGCATGTGTATGTGCGACAATCGGGAGTCGATATTGATTCACCTAGACCGTAACAAATTCTTATATATTTACCAGAAGACAACTAGGTGGTACGACTTTTGTTGTGCCTAGAACTTCTTCTGAGTAGGTACCAGCCTCTTACTTATTTCTATCAAATGCTGGCACTGCTGTGTTCCAGTTCGCAGAGTGTAGAGAGCCAGTATAAATATAGGATGACACATTCCATCTTAGCCCTCAATGGTGAAAACGCATCTGTAGCCGCTTTTGTTTGAAATTGACTGCAGGTGCCCATGGATAATAGCCACTTACCATCAGGTGGACTGTATTAGTTTTATAAAAAAAAAACGTGTTACAACAACTTTATCTACTTGTCGAGGGTTTAGATTGATTATGATGTTAGCGATGTGGGTTTACACGTGGTAGAGCCATGCTGCAGCTATATTAGTAGTATAGTAGTAGCACGAATGGGTCGGCTCAACCGGGCAAGGACCACGCTTTCACAGAGTACCAGCGTAAAATAGCAGCTTAAAGCTGCTGTGTTTCGTATGATGAATGTAGAGAACCGGATACCCTTTTTACTGGAAATGAGGCATTCCATCTTAGTCCTCACGGGTAACAACGCATCTGCATTTTGATTTCTAATAAAGGATAGATGTAGATGTATATGGGCCACAGCAACCACTTACCATCAGGTGGACTTTGTGCTCGTTTGTCACCCTATCCTATAAAAAAAAAACATTCTGACTCCGGGCTACTACTGAGAATTTCTTATCAGAAAAACTCAATAACTGATTTTTTGGCCCGACCCAGGATTCAAACACAAGACCTCATGATCGGCAGACGCGTTTATGATCACTAGACCAACGAAACAGTCAAACCGTGGATACACAAACACTCAAAATACCAGCGTAAAATTTCAACATAAAGCAGTTTTCTGCCGACATCCAAAAAGAAGACGGTACTCAATTCGACCGTATGTTTTTTTTTATGTGTGTTACTTCCTAAGTTTTTACTGGGTGAATCGATTTCGATGATTCTTTTTTTATTTGAAAGCTGGTACTTCTCCTGTGGTCCCCCATGAATTTGATCAAGGTCAGACCAATGGTTTTTGAGTTATTCTTAATAACTTATATTGAAGTCGGCTGTACAAAATTTTTAATTTTAAATTATTTTATTTACATTGCAGGTGCCCATGGGCTGCATTAGCCACTTACCATGAATTGTACTATAATTTTGTTAATAACTTCAATTTTATAAAAATAAATAAAACGTCTAACCGGAGACTCTTTTTTTCTGGAAACGGAGCATTTCATCTTAGTCCTCAGGAGTGATATCGCGTCAGCATTTTGATTCTTAATCGAGGATAGGTGTAGATGTCTACGGGTTACAGCATCCACCTACCATCAGGTGGACTGTACTGTAGACTGTGGTGTGCTCGTTTGCTACCCTTGTTCTATAATAAACCGCGATTCCCATCGGAATTGCACAATCGCAATGCTCTTTAAAGGACATTAAAACATAATTTTATCAATGATTAATAATTGGATATTGGTTCTTGGCCGATAATTTAATACTATTTACGTATTCTGTCAATGAAATTGGCTCAATTATTACCAACAGCACTATTATTAAGTAACAATTATTTACGCAACGTAGTGCGAGGTCTCACAAATGTCGCTTAGCCGTCATTCAAACTTCCGAAAAGGTTAAGGAAAGACTAAATCTACTAGTAAAGATTTATTTATTTTTCATTTAGCCTTTCATTAACCTTACTTTACTCTCCTTTTAACTGACTTCAAAAAGGAGGAGGTGCTCAATTCGAGTATATGTTTTTTATATGTGTTATCTCATAACTTTTTTTTCGGTGAACCGGATTTTGATGATTCCTTTTTTATTTGAAAGCTGGTGCTTGTCGCGTGGTCCCATATAAATTTGGTTAAATGGTCGGACCAGTAGTTTTTGAGTTATCCTTAATAATTTATGTTCAAGTCGGCAACAAATTATTATCACGAGAACGAACGCGGTCTCTTCTCGAGTCACAAAGTTCAACGTTCTCCCGACAAAACAAAATTCCTTCGTACGATATTAAAGCCACACGAACAGAAACTTGTCGGCGCAAAGTAATGGCAATCAGTTAATTTAATCTAGTAGGATTCAGTTTAATACTTTACTTCTGATTATTCCAATTTGAACCACAATTCGTTGAACGCTAGCTACGGTTTCGGTATTTCAAAATTTAAATGAGTTCGAATAAAGTCCGATTTATTCATAAATAGATGCTATCGGGAATGGGCCAGCTAGATGTGTGTCTTTGTGCTTTTTGTGGTTTTTCTTTATAGAATAAGGTGACAGAGGAGCACACAGTCCACCTGATGGTAAGTGGAAGCTGTGGAACATAGACATCTATAACAAACATTTATCCTCAGTTAAGAATTCAAACGCAGATGCGTTGTCACTCCTGAAGATGAGATGGAATGCCTGGAATGCCTTCACGACAAAGGATAAAATTCTACAGTGGGAGGTGAAAAGGATTATTATAATATTAACGAATATATATTTTTTATAGGATAGGGTGGCAAACGAGCACACAGTCCACCTGATGGTAAGTGGTTGCTGTGACCCATAGACATCCACATCTATCCTCAATAAAGAATCAAAATGCAGATGGGTTGTTCCCGTGAGGATTAAGATGGAATGCATCGTTTCCAGTAAAAAGGGTCTCCAGTTCTCTACACTCACCATACGAAATACAGCAGTGTTAAGCTGCTGTTTTACGCTGGTTTTCTGTGATAACGTGGTCCTTCCCCGGTCTCTACCACGTTAAATAACTAAATTGACTAAAGAATCAACAAAACTGACAATCTCCTAATTTTGTGTAGTCGGTTAAAAATGACCTTACTATCCAAAACGTATTCATGTAGCCGAAAAACATCATTGTCGAAAACAAATTATCTCCAACAAAGGTGTTGACTCCAGGAATAATCTAATTGACCTATATTATATGGCGAGTGTCTGGATCAAGGGTCGGGAGGTGAACTTGTTAGATGCGATATAACTACCGCTTAATTGACACGGATATTATTCAAGCGGATGTTTAGAGGACCACATTAGTCACTTGATTTTGTATGTTATAAACATAGGCATTAAATTTAATTTATAATAAATAAGCTTGATGATTACGGCAAATACAAATGCGATGGCTGACCGCTCACTTAGCGATCAGCAGAGTCTACATAACCTAAGGATGCCTGCGTGTAGAGGCAAAACACGTGTCGTATTGTCGTCGGTGGTGTGTCTTTCCTAGTGTAGTGATGTTGGGAGTAGTGGTGCTGGGATTAGTGGTGACGGGGATAGTGCACGCAATTGAGAGAGGACGGGAGTCTTCATACTAGATAAGACACATCATTTTATTTTATCGAGCGGACGTACGCGAGGTAATTTTAACCAACTTTTATATAATGGATTTCCGCAAAGTAACGCCTGATTCTATTAATTATAATAATAATAATGTCCTCCAGACTTAAAGGCGGCCAATCTCAACGGAGACTAGTCATCTGTGCAAGACAGGATTTTAATGCCAGAGCATCCGCAAGCACAGGTGCACTCTCTATTCCCTCACTCTTAAAGTCCGATGGGACGGCAAGTCGACTAGACCGGAAAGAGATCAGGCGCAGGACCAACAGCTTTACGTGCTTTTCGTCAACTTCCAACTTCCAAACTCCAGACCTTTGAGAATTCAGAGAGAGAGAGAGAGAGAAAGAGAGAAAAGTCTTGACGGAAAAACCCAAATTCAGGTCGGACTCAAAAGCAGTTTATGGTTTCTTTTCGAATTTGAAAACCAGCAATCGCTTTTATGACCACAATACCAATGAGACAGTCATAGGAAAATACATCATTCATCAACACAACTTAAATATTATCGTAAACTAACGACCCGCCTCGGCCCCACCTAGATAGTATATGTTAATGTGGCGTTATCTAGATTTTATACGTGGTAGAGCCATGCTGCAGCTATATTAGTAGTATAGTTGTAACACGAATGAGTCGGCTCGATCGGGGAAGGACAACGCTCTCACAGAATATCAACGTAAAATAGCAGCTTAACACTGTACTCTGTTTCGTATGGTGAGTGTAGAGAATCAGAGACCATTTTTACTGGAAAAAAGACATTCCATCTTAGTCCTCACGGGTGACAACGCATCTGCATTTTGATTCGCAAACGAGGATAGATGTAGATGTCTATGGGCCACAGCAACCACTTACCGTCAGGTGTACTGTGTGCTCGTTTGTCTACCTATCTTATAAACAATTAAGACAATCAAAGACCATTTATTTTATCAGTTATTCGTTTTCAAAAAATATCTTCAAGTTTTTGGATAATATACAGATTAGACCCCTACTGGCATTGAGCTCTTGATATCATAACATCATGCAAATAACCCTCCAAGTTTAATAGAAGCCAGTTATTTAAATATCAGAGACAAACACTTTAATTTTATTTATACGTATAGATAAACTGCCACTCACCTAACTTTAAGGTTGGCACAGAATCGAATGCCCTGCAATAATATGACGGCTTCATATACTCCACCTCCATGTCATCCCACCACCCGGGTGGAACTGGCAGCATATCAGGATTTAATTCGACGTGAATTAATGCTGTTCTACCGTCCAAATATAACCTCTTCAGTTTTACAGATAGAATTATCTCCTTCGCCTTCCAGTCTAAGCCCGGGTAAGAACTTTTAAATTGCTTGAGTATCTGTTCCGTATCGTTGGTGTACAACGACAACTCTTCGTAAATATTCGAGTATTTGGTCACATAGAATATGTACTCCGCCAGCTTTTTCACCCACAGCCTGTACATCTTTTCCAAATTCTCGAAATTGTACCTCTTTTTCATTCGTATTTTCGTCGCGTACATGTTTATCATCGATTGCTTCTCTCTTATAAAGAGCGCCTTATTAGACGTTGCCACTTCATAATTCACGGAATTCGTTTGGACGCACCAGTAGTATCCATCCATTATTGGTTTCAGTACAAACACATTACTGTCTTTTTCACGCTGCATATTAATGCGGGTCGGGTAGTGTATAACGGAGTCAGAGAAGCAATGAATATCGCTTTCATCGATTGAATCGTTAACTGACAAAGTCAATTTGTTGTCTCTGAAAAAGAGTTAAAAATTAAAAAGGTAAAACTGTATGTAGGGATGGCAGGAACTTATTGCTAACACTTAACGATTATCCAACTGCCCAACATCAAACATTCACTCAAACCCCAGCGAAACCAACTTATAAATTACTATTACGTAGTAACCTAGGGATTATATACTCTTTGTACGGCACATCTCGTATGAAGTATAGAATATCGATAAAGATTTACTCGCTCCCATACTGTTGACCGTCGACATTGTTCGGGACTGACTGATAATCAGTGTTGCAAAGTGTTATGCTGGGACAGTACCTCTTCCACCAATTTATCATACACATATATAATACGTATACTTCTTTCTTTTTTGTTACTAAGTATTTTTTTCTTTAATTGCAATGTGTCATGTGTGTAGATGTAAGTGTTGGAATAAATGTCTTTATGTCTTATGTCTTTATGTCTATTAAAATACTGAGTGAAGACACAGTTTTGACTTTAAATATTCTGATACTAGGTGGAAGAACACCTTTATCTGCCAGGGAGTCCATCTGGATAGGTACCATCTTCTTAACTATTTCTGCAGCCAAATAGCAGTGTTTACACTACTAGCTTACACTGCTGTTTATCAGCACACTTTCAGGTTATACAGATATAAAGAGTTTGTATGGTTACAGCCTGAGGTAACCTATTATATTTATGTAACATCTGTAGTCTCCTTTATATGAAAAACTGCGGTAGTCTTTTTGTTCGAGGTGTGAGTTCACCGATTCCCATGGATCGGCTCAACATATTCAAGACTGTTACAGTTTAAAGTATTTTTAATAAAACATGTGACAAACGAACTTATATTATACCTGATGGTAAGTACCACTAGCGCTCTTAAAAAGAAGTATTATTTCGCCTCCAGAAGGCAAAGTCAGAGCACATAGGCAGAATTGGCAAGATACTAGTTCGATTTTGATCTCCACTTCTATCAGCCATTTCTGCATAGGGAGGACGACTCACTGCCCCATGCCACAAAGGAGAAAGCTGATCTGCTAGGCTCTCTCTTTGCGTCCAACTCGTCTCTCAATGAAGACGGGAACACACCGCCGACCATCTCGCGGCGTGAGTGCTCCATGCAGTATGTGCTATTTACACAGCGCTCGGTGCGCTCCTCTCCTTCCGGTACTCCTACTCCGAGGCGACCGTTCAGATCCGTTCAACTACAGGCCTATCGCTATCACCTCCTTATCCTCCAAAATAACAGAAACAATTATTAACTGCCAGCTCATGAGATACCTTGAGGATCACCAGCTGACTAGTGACCGCTAGTACGATTTCCGTCTGGGTCGCTCAGCTGTTGATCTTTTGGGTTACCTAGCTCATTTATGGGAGCAGGCAGTAGAGTCCAAGGGGCAGGCGTTGGCCTTTAGGTTGGACATAGCTAAGGACTATTATCGAGTCTGGCACAAAGCGCTTCTTTCGAAGCTTCCTTCTTATAGGCTTCCCGAGAAATTGTGCAATTGGATCACCAGTTTTCTTGCAGATCGAAGCATCAAGGTCGTAGTAGATGGTGCATGTTCCGATTACAAGCCCATAAAGGCTGGTGTTCCACAAGGCTGCGAGCTATCACCAACGCTGTTTCTTCTGCATATCAATGGTATGTTGCAAACCGGTAACATTCATTGTTATGCGGACGACATCGCTGGTGATACTTTATACACCAGCCGCGCTAATATTTCTCGGGTAAACGTCGCCGAGTACTGTAACAATCTTGTGTCTGAAGTCGAGACTTCTATACTTCTATCTATTTTTGTGCGTGTTAGAGCGTGGTACTTCCCCGGTCGAGCCGACCCATTCGTGACACAACTATGTACTGTTAATATAGCTGCACCATGATCTACCCCGTTTAACTTTTTACACTTGCCTTCATTTTTTAAAATCATCACCATATTAGAAAAATAATATGATAATTCCATGCCAAATCCTCCTTTAGAAGAAGTTTCGGTCCAGTGGTAAGCTCTTAGTGCCTGATTATCTACACTTGCGTCATTAAATAGCTATCAAGTTTCGTAATAGTAAATTTTTGCTACCCTAGCCAACGTTGCCTTATTAATAAGTATAAACTCACATGTCAATCGTCACATTCAAGGTGATATTCCTCCTCTGGATAGACCGTTCGCATATCACGTCGTAGAAGATATAGGAACTGTTAACGAGGTACCAATAATTGTCGTGCAGAGCACCCAGCAATGTATCCGAAGATAGCACGTTCTCTTCAAAGTTCCATTCTGATTCAGGTATCTAATGAATAAATATTGACTTTGGTATATTAAACAACTAACTTTTACCCGCGATTTCGTACGCGTAGAACTTTAACAAAAAACTTGCAGATCTATAATAGTGGTATGTATTTGTGCAAAAAGTTTAACTGACGAAAAACTACATTAAACTCAGTTTAATATTTAATATAAATATTTTGAAAACTATTTGCGATATAGAAAAATGTTTATATACAAAAATTTAAGTTCTGTTAATTTCACATAAAAAATATGTGATCAGTTTATCCTTTAACTCTCATAGTTTTGTTTTAAAGTGGTGTTGAAATAAAAAAAAATGTCAAAAATCGTAAATTGTAAGAAACTTTATGTGAAAAATTGCAAACCAAAAAGATCTTGTTCGAAACTTCTTTTATCTCGTTTAATTTATGAGATTTACTTATTTACTTTATTCAAGACAAAACAGTAACAAGAGATAATAAATACTCACAAAGAAAAATAAACAATGGTACAAATGTTCCTCTCAAACTGTCTCGCTGAGAATATACATATGCCATCACAAACATAACTTGTAAAACAAACCAAGTCCCGCAACCCAGTTCTTCTACCGTAAAAAGTTGTGAGATCCATGTAATACCAAGTCGGTTAATTTATTCAGTCCCTACTTAAGGGTCCTTCTGTCTTAAGTTATTACGTAATTAGCTAACCTAACAACATCTTATAGTGACCACATCAATACTAAAAATCTTTTATATTTTAAATAAATAGATTGATTTTGTTCGACTGGACTCGAAGATTATGATAATGAAGCAGATCGCAAATTGCTATTGTCTCCACAAGAAGCAGGGTAACAAGTGGTATCATCATCAGGGTATCATCACAAAACTAAAATTTTCAATACAAAATATACTTAGATATTTATCAAAACCATTTAATTTATCACTTTTTCCATTTCACAAGAAATCTGGTATATATTTTACGAATAAAACAGAGATTTTTAAATAGGTTATACTTTAGGAGCCTCCTTAAACACTACTATTGGCTAAAATCGATGCTCATTTATATTTGTGCAATATAGATTACAACTTATTCTCATTGAAAGTATTTATTTTACTTTTATAAGTCGATCCCCGCCGCCACCAATGAAATTGTTAATTGCAATTCGAAGTGCCGTTTTACCACGTGTTCAGTGGAGAAGGTAAACATCGTGAAATAAAATATTTGTAAGCTAGCGATCTGATCCTGCTTCGCACGGTTGATTTCTGGATCTCGACAACAACGACACCTACCTGGTCCAATTGTGAATCTAAACCATTTTCTAATCAACTTAATCACACACATCAAAATCAGTCCAGCTGTTTAGGAGGATTTCAGTCCCATACATACACACGGACAGAAGAATTATATATTATTTAATTATAAACAATATGCATGTATAATACATATAAACCTTCCTCTTGAATAATGCTGTCTATTGATGAAAACTGCATCAAAATCCGTTGCATCGTTTATAGATCAAAGCGTACCTCGTACGGCGGGAAGCGACTTAGTTTTATAGTAGTGGCGGTTTAAGAATATCTACTAACCCATGTCATCCCGTGGGTGTAGTAAGAGGTGACACAGGGAAACGAATCCAGCAACGATCTATGCAAACGACTCAGCAAATCCGCATATGCGCTTTCTCAACTTTCAAAAAAGGTTAACAGCCAGGCTCTTTTGATAGCATACCATGGACTAGTTGCTTCCGCTTTACGATATGGCATCATTTTCTGGGGACAGTCTTCTGATAGGGAGCTTGTATTTAAGATGCAAAAACGATGTGTAAGATCAATGTGTGGTCTCAAAGTAACAGATAGCTGTTTTCCTTATTTTAAATACTTAAAAATCCTAACACTGTCGTCATTGTATATACTGGAAACAGCTATTTTTGTAAAAAAGCATCCATTTCTTTTCCAAAAAATATCTGATATTAGAAAGAATCCAATACGTACCCACTACATAAATAGGTTATGTTACATAAAATGTAAAACATCATTAATGAAAAAAAGCTTCTTTGGCATTGCCCCACAAATTTATAATAAACTACCTGATTCAATAAAAAATATGACCTTATTTAAATTTAAAAAGGTGCTAAATGACTTATTAATAAACAAATGTTACTATAAAATTGATGAGTTCTTGAATGACAATTTTGACTAGTAATTTTTATTGAATATTATCATTTTTTGTTATTGTAATCAATTTAATTTTATAAATGTAGAATTTTCATTAGTATGCCAATTTCAATTATTTCTATTCTATTTTATCTTATGGCATGATTTTTCAAAAGAACACTCAATTATATTTGTATGTCTTTAAGACAAAACATTTATTGTATTTGCACACCTCATAAGGTAATAATACAACGTACATATTATAATTTTCTGTAACACCTTTTATACCTGTATTATGCAAATAAATGAATTTGAATTTGAATTTGAATTTGAAGGTAGCAGCATCTTCCTAATAACGACTAAAATTTAAAAAAACTGATGTTGCCAAGCCGGTGCCAAGCGTAGCGACTATGGCAAATATCCCCCCATGAGGCAATCTATGGGGGAGGCCTATGTTCAGCAGTGGACTTTAATAAGCTGTAATGGATGGATGTATAGAAGATAATCTACCAGGAGCACATGACCCACTGAGAGGTGAAATTTTCAAATCAACAGTAACATTACAACTATGGCAAATATATAATAACCAATGGGGGAGGCCTATGTTCAGCATTGGACTTTAATGGACTGTAACGGTAAGGGTGAATTCCACCAACACGCACCGAAGCTGCAGGTCGCGTGGAAGGAGATACAAAGTACTTTGGATGATGCACTTCCTATAATTATGATAAAACTTCGCTTACAGGTAAATTCGTTTAATCATGAATTTTATAGCACAGGCTAAGTAACTCACTTCTCCATGGGTTGACTGGTAGAGAATGGCTCAAGGTATCAAGTCCGCCCTATGTATTCTTTTAGATTAAGGAATGCAATAAATAATAAATAAATAAGTTTTAGCCCATGGGCTCTAATGCGTGTTGCAAACAACCACGTCTTCATCATTATCATCATTACAGTCTTTCATAAGTCCACTGCTGAACATAGACCTCCCCCAAGGAATGCCACAAAGCACGGTCCTGAGCCACCTGCATCCATCGACTTCCTGCATGTCTTACCAGGTCGTCATTCCATCTCGTGGGGGGTCGCCCTACACTTCGCCTACCGGTACGAGGCTGCCACTCAAGAACCTTTCTTCCCCATCGGTTGTCGGTTATTGGAGCTATATGGCCGGCCCACTGCCACTTCAGCTTACTAATCCGTTGGGCTATGTCGGTTACTCTGGTTCTACTGCGGATATACTCATTTCTAAGTTTATCACGCAGAGAAACCCCGAGCACAGCTCTCTCCATAGCTCACTGAACGACCTTGAGCTTCCTCATATGGCCAGCAATGTAGGACCACGTCTTCGCGTATCTTCTATTGTATAGTACAAATTACTTAAATGAGCCCAGCAGTGAGGCGTATACAAGCTGAAAATTTACCTCAGAGTTATCATCTTCGGCATCATAACACAGCCGAGAAAAATCCGGGCTCATGATGATCCCCAATGGATATTTTCTATTGAACCCAATCGCCCGAAACATTGGATTGTTGGCATGTCTCCATCCCTTATTTAAGATCGACCCCCCTCTTTTCTCACAAAGATCTTGAGCCTGTCTCCAAGTCGCTCGCACTGGACCACCAACTACGCCATTCAAGACCCCAAGACAAGTGGCGACTGGACTTGAGAACCTTTTAGAATCTTGCAAATCTTCACAACCATCATCAGAAATTTTATCTTCGTAAGGTTTGACAAAACAATATCTGTAATGCCTCTCGTTGCATTTTGTCACAGTAAAGTTACTCGCTGGATCTATAACCAAGCACAGCTCTTCATCTAAGCCTAAATCAGGGTTATAACTGACGTCGTAAGTGGAGAAAAACAAGGCACCGATCGTACTAGAGTAAGACCAGTCTATGAACGGTCCCCCAGGATACGAGGACTTATATTCTGTCCATAATATTATATTAGGGTCCGTTATGTTCAAGCTGTAATACAGTTTTGATGTGTAAAGGTTACCGGCGCAGTCTTTAAATACATCTTCGAAGGCCTCTGGCCCTTTCCTTCTATAGCATATTGGATCTCCTTTTTGTTTTGTAACGGCTAACGTAAATCCTATAGGGCAAACGAGTGCCTTGTTCTGTTTATGACCATCCACCGCTATTATGCTAATCCAAAATATAAAGACTAGTGGCGCTGCCTTTATGGCGGAAGACCACTGCAGGATCATCTGTAAAAGAAAAAAATAGGTGATGCAAAAAAAATATATAAACAGTAAATAAAGTAGTCACCAATGGTTATTTATTTCATCTTTTTCCATTTCACAAAAATATCTCCAGGTTTTTTGGATCAATTTCATAAAAAAAAAACTTTTTTATGAAATTATTTAAAATTACAAATTTTGTACAGCCGACTTCATTATAAATTATTAACAATAACTCAAAAACTATTGGTCTGACCTTGATCAATATGTAATTCATGTGGGACTACATGTAAGGTAGCAGCTTTCAAATAAAAAAAGAATCATCGAAATCGGTTCACATAAAAAAAATAAAGAAACATACAGTCGAATTGAATACCGTCTCCTTTTTGAAGTCGGAAGATAAGGGTTACAAACGAGCACATAGTCCACCTGATGGTAAGTTGGTTCTGTGGCCCTTAGACATGTACAGTCTACAGTACAAAGCAGGTAGTGGTTGACTACTAATCTGAAAATCTAACCGTAGTTTGTATAGCTATACAAACTGTGAGCTTCACTGTTCACTTTGCTACAATTTCCACTTATTATATCTTCTGAAGTCAGTGCTAAGACATAGTTTTAACGCGATAGAACCATACTTCAGCTCTATTATCGTTTTAGCACGAATAGGTGATACGCCGGGTTATGACCACACTCTCACAGAATTCCAACGTGAAATAGCAGTTTCATGCAGCTGTTTTTCGTATGTTGAGTGTAGAGAACCCGAAGCATTCTATCTTAGTTCTCAAGGATTGCAACGCATCTGTATTTTGATCCTTAATCGAGGATAGATTTAGAAGCCTATGGGCCACAGCATCCACTTACTTTTTTTATAGAAGAGGGAGCAAACGAGTATGCGGCTCCCCTGATGGTAAGTAACTACCACCGCCCATGAACAACCGCAACACGAGCCGTTGCGTTGCCAGCCTTTTAGAAAGTAAGCTCTTTTCTTGAAGGTCCCTAAGTCGTATCGGTTCGAAAAATTCGCCAGTGGTAAATAATTCCACAGAAAATTTGTACGAGGAAGAAAACTCCTAGTAAAATGCACAGTCGTGGACCGCCAAGCATCCAGATGGTGAGACGATATCGTGAATTTTGACGCGATGTACGTTCGTGAATTTGGCGGCGGGAATTAATCCGAACAATTCCTCAGAGCACTCCCCATGGTAGATTCGATAGAAAATGCAAAGGGATGCAACATCCCTACGCAGCGCCAGTGTATCGAGCCGATCAGAAAGAACTCGCTCGTCGACGATTCGAACCGCTCTGCGCTGAATGCGATCAAGTGGAAGGAGCTGGCACTGGGGTGCTCCAGCCCATAGATGAGAACAGTATTCCATTTGAGGCTGAACTTGGGCTTAAATCTTACTATCAGAGGGACTATGTGCTCAATTGTCACGCATATTCTTAAAAAAACCGGCTGTAGGTTTTGATTCCCTTGCGAATGTCGGAAATTTGAGGCATAAACGGCTGTATATTTTGATTGCGTTGGCTTAGAAGTTTGATTTTTTCACAGCTCCAAAGGATAGTAGATTTGAGTCATTGATATGAATTTCAGCTTAATACCTCTACACGTTCCTGAGAAAAAGGGTCTTGACAGACAGACAGACAGGCGGACAACAAAGTGATCCTATAAGGGTTCCGTTTTTTTCCTTTTGAGATACCGAACCCTAAAAATTAGTGCACAAAAGAATTAACCCCGACTTCAGAAGCCATTATGTGGAAGTTATTACATTCCTTTTAATTTTTAAAGTCAGATTTGACTTGAAATTAAAAATGTTATTTTTATTCCTGCTAGCAGTTCTATGCTATTTTTGTGTGGCACATTAACAAATGTTTGGGTGACGAGACTAACTGCGAATCAGAATAGAAAAAATATTTACCAGGGATCGTAAACATAAAACACATAAAGTAATGTTTGTGAAACGAACGAGGATTGTAATGTAATCTGATTATAAACATATTTCTTTTTAATTGGAAAAATCAAAAATGAGAAGGTCCTCTATTAACCTGATTTATTTATTTTTGCATGTAACGCGATATCTTCTCCAATTGTAAACCGTCTTTATTTCTTTTTTTATTAAAAAAAATTACCTCCAGATTAGGGTTTTCTTCTGTATCAGGGCGACAGTTTACATAAATTTCACAAGGATATCCAGACCCGGAACAATTTTTAAGGCCGCAATTCGAATCCCGCACGGAATAAGTATTTGTAAATACTAATACTTATTCTGTGCGAATCCGCGGCTCTTAGCGCTGCTAAGCATTGGTAAGCCACTGCTCCACGGCTCTGTCGCTGTACTTTAATGATTTTTTATCATTTTATTCAATAGATACTCGTAATACTTTAGGGGAGGTCCTATATAAATTTAGAGCTCGAATTCCGGTATGATGTTTAATTTAACATTATATTTGTTACCTTGACCTTGTGACCTTAGTCTAGTTGACGGGGGTCAAAAAATTTAGTTTTAATCGTCCCATAGATATCGTAAGACGTATATAGGTCTACTATGGGATGTGTCAGAAAGACCTTAAAGCTTTCGAATAGATGGCGGTATACTTAACTATCTCGTCCCGACAACCGGGGAGGCCTATATCCAGCTGTAGATTATTCCAGCATATTTAATAAAATTGAAGATAAAGTAATTTTATTAATCATATTATATTAATAGCCCTTAGGTCACGGACCTCCCCATGAATGGGCCAGCTATATACACCCCGTATTATGTGGGAGATTTTTTTTCGCACCACTTCTTTGTGGAATCGTTTACCACCGGTGATTTTTCCAGGCCGATACGTTTTAAGGACCTTCAAGAAATTATTATAATAAAAATTAATAGCTTCTAAAGTCGGTGACAAATTTTTTGCTTCTTTACACCATTTCTTACCACCAACTTCTAAAACTCGTACGTGAAAATTATTTTATTATTTTTGTTCTTAGAATTCGGGTTTTTCTTTTTACTAAATTTAAGTTTTTATGTTCCGCGCAACTAAATTACTATGGTTGTGTTCCGATATACACTGCGAGCACTGCTCAGTGCTCTCACTGGTGAAAAATTCGTTCCGTCATGGACAGCCAGTACTGCCCTGTAACTGCCGCAGTAACCTAGAGAAATAATGACGTCATAAATCGCCGCCATTTTGGTACTGTGAGCACTGGCGCTTTCGAGGTAAGGTACTCTCAGTAATTTGATCACGTGATCAAAAAACATAACAGCGCCATACCTCGGACCTTAAATTTTAAAAGCAACAACATTCAAATAATAATTTTTCTTGTTGAACAGAACACGTGTACATGACAAATACTTTAATTTGAAAACAGTGTCGAAAAATGGGGATGTGACAGTATACTGGACTGCGTTCCATTTTAAACAGTAACCGGTATAGCAAACTAAATAGGAACGGCTTCATAGTATACTGAATTGTGGTCACACCTTACAATCGGTACGGTCACAGTGTATATCGGAACGCACTCTATATAATAAATAAGTAAAGTTACAGCCTGTCCTACAGCTGGTCTCAGCTTTACTATACCATGCAACTCCCCGTCATCTGTTTGCAAGATTTGGGACTAACTTTAACTTTTCAAAGGATTTTCTAACTTGTCGTCGGTCATAAGACCCTAGCCCGTCAAACAACAGTCTGATCGAGAACGTTCGTATATTATTACTAACATTTTTTTTTGTTTTACTACAAGTCCGCTGCCGAACATGAACATCATAGACATACGTTTCCCCATAGATTGCACCTTAGGAGGAATATTCGCCATTGTCACCATGCTCAGTTAAGATGTTAAATTGTTCTAAATTATATGAAAATATGCGAACAAAAAAAAATCCGTGTAGTGGTGCCCTGTAGAATCCAATAAAGCGTCAGTAGCCTAATGGCAGGGCGCGGACCGCGAACACGAAAGATCGTGGGTTCGAATCCGCCATTCGACTACTGTCGTGAACCACTTCTAACACAAGCATTTTAAGCTTACCAGAAGTGGTTAAAGGGAATATTGGTACTGTTTAATAATAGCATTACTAGTATTTTTTATTTTAAAAAAAATACCCCATATCATCCCGTGGTCGCCGTAAGAGACGGCAGAGGAAAAGTGAAACAAGAGATGAGCAGCAAAAATAAAAACTCCGGTTGGCAATCTGCCTGCTAAGTGTTGCAACCATAGATCCATAGATTATTATTATATACATTAGCCTAAATCACTGAACTAATCTATGGAGGAAGCCTATTTTCATCAGGTTCAGAGTTTTGGCGGGAACTTGACCGGCGGCGGTTTGCTGCTCCTGTTTTATTGTTTAAATAATGGTTTGAAGTGGACTTTGATATGTAAAAGTGGTGCGATTTTGTGTATTAAATGTGAACTATTAGTGGAAACTGTGAAAGAAGTGCTCTGATGATGATGTGATTCTCAAAATAAGGTGTCTGTCTGCTTAGGCGCCTTGAGATACCATCGCCAACCGTCAGCTGTCTGCTGGCTCAAGTTGCCGTCAAAATCTCCCAAGGGCTGCACAATGTGACGCATCAACATATTGTGAAGCAGTGTACTATGAAGGATAATTATTATGATATATTGTAACTTCAGGCTCAGAAGGGCTAGATCCCAGAGCCGTAAAGCCAGTTATTAAGAAGAAGAAGTTCTGCAGGATCAGGTCGCCGAGGTACTATTATGGTATGTGTGAAGTGTCCAAGATTTTTTATAGAAGAGGCGACAAATGAGCATGCAGCTCACCTGATGTTAAGTGGAGAAATGCAACAGGGGAATTGCAGGTACGTTGCCGGCCTTTTAGAAAGGAGGAAAATGTGTGTGATCTACATTTTCGCTGAGAGTTATGATTAAAGTGACGATACGTCCCGTTTTGAACGGGTACTGTCCCTTTTCTTGGTCACCAGTCCCGTTGTCAGCAAACAAAGCTCCGGAACGCAAAATAGTCCCTTTTTTTATAGAAACAGGTGACAAACTAGCACACAGTCCACCTGATGGTAAG